TTTCAAAAAGGAAATGAGCTGCAACTGAGCTGCAGCTCATTCACCAACTTCTTTCACAACCTCTTTGGTACGTAGCTTTCCACTGTCCTGCTATTGTACCTTCTTTGCATACGTACTTGGGCGTTCCGATCAGTCCGTCCTTCGCTAGCCAACACCTGCAGAGGAACGGCTTGACCCTCCGCATTCCTAGAAATTTGTTTGGTATTCATGTTTTTGTCTTGTTATCTTGTTGCATTCAACTTATGTAATGAAATGTTATGTGATCCATGGACAACTGGTGAGAATCATGCAAGTTGTACTGATTAGATACATTATTGATTTGGAATCATCATTTTCAGTAATGCTATTATATCGGTTACAGTAAAATAATGCCACAATCAAAAATTTCAATGCGGTGGCGCGTTATACTTTTCAGACAGTCCCAGAGATTGGAGCGTGTCCGAAAGTCTTCTATATCCATTTTTCCAAAAGTTTCTCCGTATCCGGAGAAATTCCATATTTAGGGCCTGTCTAGTCCAAATGCGCCCTTTGACCCGAAAGTCCAAAATACCAAATTTTCGATTTGTTTGATTCCTTTTTTATCATTCGACTTAGTCTTTCTCCCCCAATTGCATTGATAGTAAAATCTTGTCATTTCTCAGAACATCCACTTTCCTCCAGCGCGATGGCTTCGAACGTTGCACTTTGGTTGCACACCCTTGGTTGTATGGACCACAATACTCAAAGGATTCGGCATATGAAAAGAATCCTAAGAGCTAGTAGAATTGCGGAGGAGCCAGAAGATCACATGATCATACCTGAGGATGATCATGATACCGACGATTCCGACAATCATAGGAACTTAATGTTCTTCATGCTGATAATGTGCAGCATTCTGCCTCAATTTCGAGTTGGAGTGGAAGATCCCTTCATCTTCTCTAGGAACCGGCACATGTTCCACCAAGCATTGCCTGCCCATCAGCGCCGCATTCAAGAAAGGAGGATACCAAGAGGAGCATTGAATGATCCCACTCAATCTGGGTGGAGAAGGCTATACAAGAGTGGAAGCGACCAAGCATTAATCACATACACCGGGTTTGATCATGCATCGTTCAACTTCCTTTTGGGGCTCTTTAGTCCACTCTGCAATCAGTATAGTCCTCATGTCAACATGAGAAAGTTGACTCCCCTTCAGCGGAGAGGTCGCCCAAGAATGCATACTGCATCAGATATCCTTGGGCTGAACTTGGCATGGTCCAGAACAAAGGGGTCAATCCAGTCCCTCTCCATCATATTCGGCATGACTGCTACCAATGTCCATCGCTACCTGTACTTTGGACGGCGTATTCTCATAATGGTGCTTCAAAGTCACCCTGATGCTGCCATCCGCATCCCATCAGCTGAGAAGATTGAGGAATACAAGCAAGCGGTCAACAATAAGCACAATCTCCTGACTGATGTCTGGTGCTGTTTTGACGGTCTGAAGCTGGGAACCCAAGCTCCTACCAATGCAGGTCTTCAGCGTATCTTCTACAATGCATGGAAAGCAGACACCTTTGTGAAAGGTGTCTTTGCATTTGTCCCAGATGGCAAGATTGTGATTGCCTACTTTAATGTCCCTGGAAGTGTACATGATAGTCAGCTGGCCTATCTTGGAAACATATATGGCAAATTAAAGAGTGTCTATGATCAATGTGGTGGTATTGCTGTTGGCGATTCTGCTTTTGCTGCTTGCGAGAGGGACTACATCATCAAGTCCAGCGCAAACAACAAAGATGGGCCGCCGCCCAACCTAAACTTCATGTCAGAAGAAGAGCTACATGATTATCTTGTGAATAACCAGGCTACATCATTGCGTCAGACTTCTGAATGGGGTATGCGTGGCCTCCAATCATCATTTCCCAGACTCAATGATCGTATTCATTATGAACAGTACAGTGAAAGGAAGTACATCATGAAATTGTTCTTACTTTTGTACAATCTTCGGGCATCAAGAGTGGGCATTAACCAAATCACCAACACATACATGCCACATCTAAATCAAGAAGCCGACAACTTGTTCCCTCAGTTCAATGATGCTCCAAATGATTAACAAAAAGCAAGTAGATATATGTGGGTGTAGGCAAGTGCATAATACCTACTAGTAGTAAGTGATTAGGTGTGTCTATAGAAAGCAAGTACTGTGAGTCAACAAGCTCACAAGCATTCCCAAATCATCGGATTTTAATAGTGTATTTTGCTATGAGTTGACAAGCTAACATGGATTCCTAAACCTAAATCATCGAATTTTCGTAGACTCTCTACTTCTTTGGAGGGCCCTTTGGAGCATCCTTTGGAGGAGTAATCTTGTTGATTCCAGTCAACTTCTTGCTCTTCTGGTAGTAATGTTGCTTCTGATGAGAAGGATCAAAGGTATCATAAACACTGGACACTGTTGATATGTCACTATTTTCAACTTCAGTATCAATAACAGCAAGAGGCGACTCCACAGTACCGACAATGGTTTCTTGTGTTGCCTCTTGGGTCTGCAATTCCATTGAGGCTGAAAGAAGCTGGCTCGGCATGTTTCTGCCACCAGGAGCAGTGGGGCTGCTGAAAGGGTTCACAGGATTTGAGGCAGTAGAAGAACCAGCAAGGAGTGCAAACATCTGCATCTGTTGCTGGCTCTGCTGCATCTGGAGTTGCATCTCCATGCAAGTTTGTTCCAACTGCATTCTGAATTGGCGTTCTGCTCTTGCTTCATTTTGTCTAGCTTGTTCAATCTGCAATCTCATTTCGCGATCTTGTCTTGCATTCCTATCTTTGGCCTCGCGCTCGTATCTTGCATTCTTCATTGACTCAGTCTTTTGATAGACATCCATGGCGGCTGTAGCAACTGAAGTAATAGCTGAAGCTACAGGATCTTCCTTCTTAGACTTCTTGGAAGGAGGTGGCCGGGAAAGGGGTGCAAAACCAAAAACTTTATCTCCCATTGTCACTGGGCTTCCACCAGCTGGTGGGGTGGGAGAATTTGATTTGGACCGCCCACTAGCTGGTGGGGTGGGAGAAGTTGATTTGGATCGTCCACCAGCCTGTGGGGTGGGAGAAGTTGATCTCAAAGCTGAAGATGGACCAAGGCTGACGCTTGGTAGTCCAGCTCTTGCAGGAACGTTGGGGGGGTTAGGGTTAGGGTTGGGGTTGTGATGGTCTGCTGAAATTGTTTCTTCTCAAGAATGTTGGAGGTGACTGAAGCACTGGACAAATTGATTAGTTGCAGATCAAAATATACAAATTCTTGAATCGCAGGCTATCAAGGGCAACTAAGTCAATGCACTTACACCGTGTGATTTCTTCATCCTCAGAAGAACTTTCTGCAGCCGCACGGTAGCGATCCATTTGTGCCTGGAGCCTTTGTGCCTCGTCCAGCATATTGTCATCTTCAGCAGCACCCTCGCAATTTCTAGAAGCCTCAGCTTCGCCATCATTTGCAGTCTCGCCAGTATCATTGGAGGCCTCTCCGTTGATATTATTGTCTTGGTGGTTTGTGGCAACGCCTCCGTTGTCGTTGTCGTTGCCATTGCTATTGCCACCATTTTCACCACTGTCATCATCATTGTCACTATCACTGCCGCCGGCAACAAACTCATCATCAGACCCTCCACTTGATCCATCCATTCGGATCCCAATCTCTGCAGCTATGCTCCTGGCTTGAAGAACTTCCCAACCAGGTTCAGTGTCACCTGAAGGTTCAACTGCACAGATCAACTTGTTGAATTTCTGGCGAATGGAGTCCCATGGACGAGGCTGCTCAAGTTTCTGATTGATGAGATCAGCACATTTCATCCATTCAGGAGCAGTGATAGGAAGCCACACTCGAAGAACTTCAAACACAGTTTCAAACTCTTTGCGAGTGTAGGCTCTGCCACGGGGGCGACTTGGTTGTCCTCTTCCTCCTCCTCTTCCACGGCCACCTTGGCCATGACGTCCTTGATGAACAGGAAGTTGATTAGTTAAAATATATGATGGGTGAATTTGCTGGTGTGTGATGTCTCTCAATATAATGGTTCGTACCTGCTCTTCCTCCTCCTCTTGCCATAATTCTCTTTGTCAGCTGATCAAAATGCTGTCAAGCCAAATTGTGAGGGCTGGTTGTTCTATGCTTCAGTGTTGCAAAACAAGAATTCTCGGAAGCCTCGGCATTTTAGTTCAGAGTCTTCACAGCAGGAGCCGGAAGATTCGTATAGTTTCTTCACCACAGACGGAAGATAGGCAGGTTTCCGAACAATTTTTGCAAAAGTGCCATTATTGTTCTGCATGAAGGAAATAGATATGGTGCCAATGCATATGTAAAACAACTGGATGCAAAACGGCTCATAATTCTGCCTTGCTCAAGAACATTCTAAGATCCGTCTTTTTGAGATCCAAAAAGTGAGAACTTTTTGACAGTGAGAAGTAGTTGTTCCTCTTCGTTGACGTGTGCTTGGCAGTGGTTCCTCTTCATCGACGTGTCTTGAAAGTATTGGCAAATTGACCGAACAACGAAAAACCATGGAAGAGAAGTCAGACTAGTCCATTTTTACCCATGGTTGGGGAGATCCCCAGAAGTTCTTTTGACCCAAAAAAAGAAGTGCAAAGGTAGCCCCAATTTATAGAAAATGAAAGAAAAGAAATTTGCCAATGTGTGTTTTGACCTCGATCAAATTTTGGAAAATATCACAGTGGATCATATGGGCCAAAAACGGGAATCGTATAGGAGCTAACATAGTGTCAATATGCAGCCATCCCGTTTTTTTAGTAGTCGCACGAGTCGTATACTTGCATGAACGCAATGTATGGAATGTATGTATGTTTTGAAAAATTTGTGCTTGTTTTATTGGACGGTGGTTCATTCAGGAATAGAGTTCAGTTGAGTCAGTCACCGGTACCGTGTACGGGTACCAGTACTATTATAACCCACTGAAGC